GTGACTGGTGATGTTGATGGGCGAACAGGAAGACAGGCCGAAGCAGAGTGCATGCAGTTCGACCAGAGGAGTGTAGCCAGTGAGATGGAAGGATGTGCGAGGAAAGAGGGTGAAGAAGAGGCGTAACCGTGGATTCGGTAGGATTGATAAGTCTGGGAGCGGAGGGGGAGGGGAATAAGTGTAAGGTAAGTATGTATGGATAAGGTACCTCAGGTAGATATGTATGCGGGTGTGGGAGAGAAGGTGTGTGACGGGAACAACCTAATGCTGTAAGTATGGAAGAGTGTGTGATATCCAATCTTCTTGGGTGATGGAAAGAGCCAGACAAAGTACAGCAGCAACCGCGAGGTTCTCAGAGTAGGTAGAGTTAGTCGGCAAATGCAGCAGCAAAACAAACACAAACGGGACGGTCAGAGTCAAAAGTAAAATTCCAATACGGATAAAGAATTTGTATTTTTACTGGAGTGATTTCGGTGGCCAGGGCCAGGCGCGGCAGGACCTTGCGGTTGGCCCTTTTCTGTTAATAATTGAATCTTCGCCGGCGGCCACGAGGTTGAGCACGTTGCGTTTTCTCATTCGAACCTTGATGCAAGCGCAAACAACGGGGCCCCATCGAGCGGAAACACCACACCCAGCCATCAAGCCATCATCCATGGGGCCGGAAGCACGCCCGGATCCCAGAACGTGCCTGGGAAGAGGGGGGGGGGGGGAGGTACTCGCGGAACTGCGAGAACGCAAGGACAAGTTGGGATGAGATGAGATGGAAACACTAGGAGTGCGATATGGGGGTTGTGGTTCGAGTAACTAAGTAATGAGAGAACTCTGCTCTTAACCACTGATGATGAAGAGCCGGGAAAGCATTACCACGGCCATCGAGTAATGAGAGGGTAAGTGGTGTAAAAGCGGAAGATGCGAGGTGGGAAGTTAAGTGGGATGGGGAAACACACCTCTGTATCCATACTCGGTACCTACTAGGTAGTATAGGTAGGTAGGTAGGTAGGTAGGTTGTATGGATACATGAGAAAAGATACGCGGCTACCTCAGCCGGTACGGTGTCGAGGTGGGAGCACGTGTACCGCATTACCTTCCCATTCCATCTAGCACCACCTACCAAAACTTGTGTCTCTTCTTTCTTTCCACTACCTAGGTACTGCATACACAGTAGGTAGCCGACTCCAGTCCCTCACCAAGCAACTTCCAGAAGCTACGCCGTTGTCTGTACTTTCCAGGGTGTACCGGAACCACGCCTGCTACAGCGCAACCAGTAGCAGGCCGGGATCGATGACATGGTCACTGAATCGGGCGATGCATCAACGAGACGGGGACTTCTGGAGCCGTACTGGAGCAATTCTCCAAAAGAGGGGCCGCCCTGGACGGGTCCTGGAACGGGACTACGGCGGGCAGGCCCTCAGTCCATTCCGTCTCAACTCTCAAGGCAAGTCTTTGTGTCCATGTCTCATGAGCGGGAAAGAAAACTTGGAAGGCGCAGATGTATCCGTAGTGGACCTGAGGAGAGAATCTGAGAAAGAGAGCGACCTGGAAGAAAAGATTACTAGGGCCTCCCCAGTGCCCCATTTGCAGCAATTTTTCTCTTCCCGTGAAGCCTAGCACAGTAAGTTGGCTTTATTATGTAAGAGCATGGCCGCGGTTGGCTCGGGGTTTCGCTTACACAGTTGCTCTTACCTACTGCGAAACTCCTCCAACTTTTTTTTCTCCTCAGACAGTCGGACCTCTCACCATCTGTCCCCAGTCTTTTTTTTTTCTTGCGCAATGCTGCGGCTTCAGAAAAATTTTCCTTATCTTTGGCAACTTTATTACCCTTCTCAGTCTAACCTGGAAAGCACCCACGCCGCAGTCACTCACGGCGAAAACCTATGCAACCAAGCCCTGTAATGCCGCCATTCCATTGTCTCCCAAGGCGTCCAGGACATCAAGAGCGGCCACGATAGAGACGACATGGGTACAATACATTACAATTTACTTACAACCTTTGGGGCATCTTATCATCCCTCCATGCTACCCAAGGCATAGGGAGGTAGTCGTACATCGTACGTCGTACGTACGTTTTACATCAATGCCATATTGAAGTATCAATGTGGCCCTCGGATATGCTCACCGACTACAGTCCACTCCGTACGCTCACTGCCTGTCAAACACGAACCTACCTAGGTACCCTGACGGGCTTGACCTGCCGTCACATCATCACATCAGACCGAGACATCCGCCCATGGATATCGGGGTGTCTGCGCCTCCCTCCATACCGATCCCTCATGCCTATCTGGACGGACACAGATGCTTGCCCGGCTCGGACCATGGCATCAGATAAGGGCACCTTGATGAGTCCGACTTTGTCGGTTCACGGGCCCTATTACGAGCACGGTCGCCCATCACGGGGTCCTCGATTTTAAGCACTACTGCGCCGGTCAGCCCCCGGCGCAAATCAATGTCTCCACATACTGTCAACTGGCGCGTCGTCAGGTTGGTGATCGGAGTCAATCCCGATGTCACAATACTCTCCGAACCCTGTGCAAACTTTTTCTGGCTCAGAGCTCCACACGACTCGCAAACGTGATCCAAAGAAATCTGCATCGTCCACCATCACAGAGCCCACCGCTTCGTTATTACGTCCAAAGCTCGAGCCTCCGGACCATGCCACTACCGATACCAAATGGGCATGACCTTACGGATACTTCGTACACATACGTCTGTCCACGATGCTCGACCAGGTTCTCGCGGTATCTCTCAGAGTCCCCTTCTACGTACGGAGTACAGCATGGCCCCCCTGGCCCGGATGGCTGGGTCCCACTGCTAGCTCCCAGGCAGAAGAATCATCGAATATCGCAATTCTACGCCATGATGGGCAAATTGTACTGCACACCCAGACACCATCCAGAATCTCCCACCCACCACACATGCAGACACTAGCATCTGGGCTCTAGCCTCTAGCCTCACTCTCTGCAGGTCTGAGATTAGCCTCTTCGCTGAGCTACCCGTGCCACGCTCCCACCGGTTACAGCGCTTGCTGCATCACCCGGGTTCGACCTAGCACCGCATCACAACGCCGCCTATTTTGTCTTTGAGGGCCCTTCATGCACGTCGGCTGCAGGAGCGTCAAGTAACCGCCTTCGCGGAGGCGCACCCACGTCTAATTCATATTTGTTCGAGACTGACGCTGGTAATGCCATTGGTCATGGGAGCGTCGTTGTTATCAGCCAATTATGCTGTCGTATGATGCGATATGGACTATGACGGGCGTGGAGGGAAAGGATCAAGGGAAAGGCGCTGTCGCCCGTGTGCTCACATTCAAGTCCACAGAATTCCGGTTCCGATGACGTTCCGACTGATAACATTGGACGTGAGTAGACACCCTCAAAAACCGAAGAATGGCCTAGGCCAAGCCGCAGGATTCAAACGCAACCCAGCGGGGGATCCCTGAAGGCTAACGCGGACTTTGAGGCGGAACCTGCTTCTGCTGAAAGTCTAGACGTGCAGCATTTGTGACCGTTGTCTACTAGAACTTTCGTCATCAACGATCGGATCCAGTGCCTTGGGACGAAGCTCAACTCCCTTCTGAATGCGGTCCGGCAACGAGCCACCGGGCATGGCGAGACAATAGGCTGGCGGGCAACAACAAAAGAGCAGTCAACCTCAATCTAGCTATCGGAACTCGGGAGGCGCCAGTATCCGTAATCTGATTGACAAAGAGCTGAGACGACAGGTCAAGCACGAGCAAGAATGCGCCAATGACGACCCAGGAATCGCGCAATGCCGACCTTGCTAGCACCGCATTTTCCTCATTACGTACAAATGGAGCCAAGCAAACGTCCCAGACGACCACCATGCCGTCATCAAGCGAACCAACTGGCGTTCCGTACTGCTCATAAGCCAACGTTTCCCCTCCCTCTCCGAAGTGGGCATCTCCGCGGAGGAGCCTGCAAATCTCCAAATTTACGCGACCAAGAAGCTTGTTACTGCGTGCGGTCTGGCCGTCGCCAAAGGAACTCGGCTTTTTGCGTAACACACCACAAAGAGCCGAGAAAAAGAAGCAGCCATCCAGCATGAGGGCGAGCTCAGCTCAAGGGACAAGCGCCACTGGTCCCCCAGCTGCTCCAGCCTCCAGATACCTACTGCTACTAATGCAAACAGCCCCCGCTTCGTTGCCGTCGAATCTGCGGGTTTTGCGGGGAAGTTGGTCCATGCCTCGTAGGGCACCGTTGCGCGCCAGCTCCCTCGTCGGCAACTTCGCGCCCTTGAACGAAGAGTGTATGGAGACGATGCCGGCGAGACGTACACATGTAGGACCGAAACACGCCCTAGATGGCTCGCCGTTGTCGAAGACGACATTGTTGGGATTCCATACGCACGTCGCCGCCGGCCACTTCCACCGGCCCACCAAATTTACGTTATAGTATTCACTGTGTGTCGACCGCCGAGAGAACCCCTCATCGAGCTTGCAGGGTCCAATTCCCCGGAGGACGGCCGCTCATCGCACACCATCGGTCCAGCCAGATGTTTAGATATTGGCGCAGACCCGAAGGAGAAGGAAAATCCGGGGTCTATTGTGAATTGCTGTCCAACGCCGACCTCGCGTCTATTTTCAAGTCACCTGAGCCGACCTTTTTTGGACATCCCTGCCAGCTGGTCAGATCCATCAGGGCAATAGACTGCTATCCCCCACGGGCCCATCGTGCTTGTGGGCACCGATATCGCGTGTTGAGGAGAGAAAACTTCACGAGGCCCAGTTGGCACCTAAGCGAGCCAGTTACTGTACTAGGGCCGGAGGTATTGGTGGAGGGGCTTTATGTCCAAGAGGAGGAGCTTCTCTTGGAGGAGCTCGCGGAGCCGCAGCCCCATGTACCCCTTCTGGGTCGGCCAAGCGCGAGGACGATGCTTGTGTGCCCCAGATCAGCTCCGTTCAGCTGCCAAGTCTTTTGATATGTAGGCCTGGGAGCTCGCTGTGCTCATCAGCTTGAACGCGGTAGGCCGTGACCTCAAGGTGATTATCCCAAGCTTGGATCCCATGCACCAGACGTAGAGAAATCAAAATCGTCCGGTCCCAGTGTCCGTTCAAACCACGGCTGGGACGCGTCCAGTGACTCGAGACCGACTGGGTCATTGTGAGGCTGAGCCATAATGTTGTCAAAGTACCGCTGCAGATGTCAGTCAGATTGTACGGCTTTGCTTGCTTGGTGAGTGCGTGAAACATACCCAGTCCATCTCTTCATTGCCAACCGCCGCCCATCCTCGATCGAGCCCAGGTTCACTTGGCCCGAGGCCCGACGTGACAAACTCAAAGGGCTGGAAGCGATTCGTCGTAGTCGTAGGGAACGATGTCGAGTCTGTCAGATCGTTAGCAGGTATATCACAAAAAGGGGCTATCTTCACGGCCGTACCACTGATTGAAAGACCGTCGAGGAGCTGTTGGTCGTCTTGGGCGGATCGAGCAGCCGATTCCGGCCCGTCACTCTGGCGAAGCCCCGATGCCGACGACACCTTTGCGCCCCCGTTCTCTGGCGGAGAGTTCGGCGGCGACCCCAGCTTGTTCAGCATCGTTTCCAGGATACCCGCCGTCTTCCTCACCTCGGGCACGCCGCCGGCGATGGCGATCCAGACGGAATACGACCTCTGCAGGAGGTGCAGGAGGTACGCCCTCGTCGGCGGGGGATTCATCTCCGCCATCCACCCGGGCGAGGCCGTCGTCGTCGTCGCCGCGCCGGTCTTGCCGTCCACGCCACCCCAGAACGGTTCGTGTCCGATGGCGAGGTATAGGATGGTGGCGGCCAGGAGGAAGTCGTGCACGGCGAGCGAGGAGACGAACCAGCCGTTCTGGCTGAGCATGTTGCCCGGCTGGCAGGCGTGCCATATCGTGTTTTGGAAGTCGAGGAGGACGACGGCGCCCTCGAGGCACTGCCGGCGGGAGTAGTCGTGCTCGCGGCGCGGCGCGGGGTCGAGGAGGAAGCGGCGGTGGAGGACACAGCGGCTCTTGTTGTAGAGCGAGGCGAGGCCGAAGCGCTGGATGATTTGCATGGGCGGGGTGGTGACGCACTCCTGTAGGGGCTTGACCATCATGAACTGCGGCACGGCGCGCCACGAGGCGTTGAGGAGGTCGTCGAGGCGCATTACCTCGGCGTAGGGCGGCGGGGTGAGGAGGTGGGACTGCCGCGCGACTTGGCCGAAGACGAGCATCATGGCGGACTTGTTGATGGGGTAGGTCATCTCGGTGTAGTCCGTCGCGGGTCGGGCCGGCGGGAGCACGAGGGTGTCCTCGTCAAAGTCCTCGTCGATGAGGTTGCGCGGGAGGCTGCAGTCGGCGTCGATGCCGTTGAGCATGCTGGGGAGGCCCATGTGGAAGGAGACGAGGAGGTCGAGCTGGACGGCCATGTTCCACATGCGGCGGCGCATCTCGCCCTCGTAGGGGGAGATGACGGTTCCCGCGGCGAGGAGGCGGTCCGGGTCGCGGTGGAGGCCCATCTTGAGGAGGAGGCGGAGGCAGACGGAGGAGAGGACGTAGCAGTTCATCTGGGCGGCGCGGGAGATGATGAACTCGGCCTCGACGTAGAGGATGAAGGGCGGGATGGTGGCGATGGTCGGGTGGGTGTACCTGCCCCAGACGAGGCAGCAGGCGGCGGCGGCGCGGAAGAGCTTGAAGCGGTCCATGGGCGGCTGCGGGGAGTCGACCGAGAGCTCGTGGGGTGCCATGAAGGTCGAGTAGAAGACGCCGAGGGACATGACCATGAAGAGGAGGGCGAGCCAGTGGAGGTCGGTGCTGGACGGGTCGGTCCAGAAGCGGGCGTACTGGATGGGAGTTGTTGGCAAGATTGTTGGCAGTAAGGGTATGAAGGGGGGAGACGGCGGACAGGAGATTGGAGACTCACTTGTTTTTCAAAAGTTGGTCTGTGAACGATATCTGCCGCCTTGTCAATACATACGAAGCCATGGGGTGAAGATCGCGAGAGCCGAGCCGTGGTGTCTTACGCTGTGATGGACTACGGGAGGAAAAGTACCTCATGATGAGTCTGTCGACAATCTTTTGCTCAGGGAGCAGCTTCAACAGGTCCTCTCTGCTGCGAGGCATGTTCCTCGAGAAGAGCATGAGATCAGGGGCCTCGATCTCGTCTGACGGTTCAGGGCTCTCGTCGTAGTCGGTCTCCGGCTCCTCAAAGTAGCTCTTCATATCCTCAATCTGCCAAACCCTCTCAGTCAATATCTCATCCAGTTCGTATTTCCTTCACATCTTGCATCGAGCATCACAGCGGGGGAAGGGAACAACTCACATCCTCGAGAATAGCCATGAAATGCGTAGCCCCAACATACGTACTCGCCCTACCCCCCTGAACAAGCTGACCCCCCGGCTGCGCGATGCCCTTCTCCTCCTCCTGCACGGCGTCGACAACAGCACCAGTAGTCTGCGGTCCTCCTGGTCCCGCTCCCGCGACACCTCCTCCCTCATCCATCATCGTCCTCACCATACCCTCCAGCCTCTTGAGCCGCGCCGCCATGCCCTTGGCGGGCTTCTGCTTCTCGGGTTTCGGCGCGTAGACGCAGCCTTCCGGGCGGGACTTCTTCAGACACTGGCCGCACGGCTCGGAGCGGTCGCATTTCAGCTTAGAGGCGCGGCAGGGACCACAGGAGAGGAGGACGCGGGAGCGTTTTGCGGCGGCTGCTGCTGATGCTGATGCCGAATGGTAGGCGGACGAAGGTCCGGGGCCGGGGGCGGAAGAGTTGGAAGTGGAAGAGGGGTTGCTGCCGCCGGTGCTTGGTCCGGCGGGTGGGGATACGTGGTCCGGATTCATTGGAGCTTACGGATACCCCTTGGGCGATTCGCGGAGACCGGACGATTAGAGACTGTAAGGCGTGTCCGATGCGGTGCCCGACGCCACATGTGAGTGGGTGTGACGGGAATGACGGGGGTGGGGCTTAAGAAGGGGGGTGATGCCGTCCGTATTCAGATCCGGAGGTCTAACTTTATTTGACGTCAGTTCCGGAGCCGGATTTTGTTTCTCCTTTGACAACCGCTAATGTTGTTTGTCGTCCTGTGTCAGCGTGTAATTACGTGTGCGTCTGAAAGGAAACCCCGTTTGGGAATGCAGCAGGATGCAAGTCACGTTTGGGTCATTCTCTTGATTCAAAAAAGCGGCCAAAAACCACCTACTAGGCAACTATGAGCTGACGGCTCCATCCGTCGGCCAGTCTCGGGGATACGGCTTGGTTAACCCCGACTATTTTGACGACCACCAAGGTTCCATACCAATAATTACAAAGTGCCAATCCACGATACACAATGGCTGGGTCGAATTGCATCACGACCCGACCTTTTGAGGGAAAATGCCAACAAAAACCAGAACCCAGAAATGCTTTTACTTCTCCCTTGCCGTGCTCCATTTCCAGGGCTCGGCGCGCCACTCGATGCGGCGATCTTCTCGATTTCCACGGTTTTTATATCGCCTTTTCTTGTCGGGAGATTGAGCTAGCACGGCATTCAAGCCCTTTTTTAGCTTGACAGTCCAATTGTCGTACCGTTCAAGCGACTCAATGTTCTCTCCCGCGCTGTTGGAGTGACCGTGATATCCCTCCTACATCGTTGATCCAAGCTTAAATCGGGGCATCGGGCAATCTCTCGATGGTGTACTTTCCGCGTCCGCACTTCATGATAGGAACACCGGGTATGCGACGGAGCTAGAGAGATTGATGTTAGCATCTTCGTTGACTTCCGGGCGAGGTTGAACATACCCTGGACACAAGACCCTTGTCGTTGGTTGCGACGAGGTACACTCTGTCTTTAGATACCTTGGACACCTGTGAAATATTGATCAGTATTTCGATACAATCATGTGATGATGTAGAGTTCGGAGCCTTACGAGGCAGTCATCGGCATACACCTGAGGGAAAACGTAATTAGCAAAGGAAAATCATGATGGGGCTCGCAGTGGACCTTACTCCTTTGTGTGTGCACTTGTGTCGTTCGAAACGGGGGTCGCGTGCTACTCTGAGAGCAAGGCGGAACTTGGGACCAAGCTTTTCCAACTCGGCCATGACACAGTCGGTCACAATGGGGTGGCAGGTAGCTGGCTCGGACGTCAGTTAGTGCCAACAGAATTCGTGCGGTGCCGTAACCTACCGTAGAGACAGTCCATCATGGTTTCTATCACTGGCAACTTCATCTGAACTGTACTAGGAGTAGGTTAGTCGACGAGGGCGAGAGGTATACGTTCGGGCAGGCTTGTCGTACCGGGAGAAGACTGGAGTACGGTTAGCAACTGCGATTCAGAGGTAGGTAGTGGCGACGGGGCCTTACATGAGGTATCGACGAGGACGCCATAGGGAGGCACGAGACTTGAGTTGCTCTCGAAGAACATCTGGGAGGGGACCTGGGGAATCTCCCTGACGATTGTCTCGCCATCCGGACCGCCTCTTTCACGCTTCGCCTTCTGCTCAGCCTCTTCCGCCTTCTTCAGGTTCTCCTTGCGCCGGGCATCGTTCTTGCCGATGACTCGCTTGACCTAGTAGGAACGTACATGGTTAGCAAACTTGTTTGCAAGTGACAGTGTTAGAGAGACGTCAAGCTTCCAACGTCCGGTTGTAGGGATCGCAATCATCGTGAACTTTCGCTCGGTGAACCGAAAAAAAGTTCTTATCGATAAGGATTCCGATATTTTCTTTGCGATGCGCGGGAGGTTTGGCGCAAAGTAGGGACTGGCGGACGTACTTCACCAAACTTTCTGGTCTTCTTCTGGACACCCATGGTGTCGGTCTCGTGCGGGCAATCGGGTATAGGTGGTCGTCGTAGTCTTCGAGTGGAGGAGTACTGGCGTCTGCGAGGCTGGACAAGGCTGTTGCGTTGACGTTTTCCTGAGTTTAGTCGCCCTGCGTATGTGGCGGGGCCGAGAGCTGGGAAAAAAAAGTTTTCGGTGTAGGATGGAGGGTGGTCTCGGTGTCTGGCATACAAGCCCAGGTGAGGAGGTTGTCAGTCTGTGCGCTCGGTGAGAACTTTGGGCGAGGCCGCGCAGCGTTTGCGAGCAAGGTGGGTCCTGGGGAGGGTGACCCAGAGCAACCGGAATGAGGGGACAATGAGACTCTCAGGGACCGAGGTGGACGAATGGCAGGGGTTCTCCTCCTCCACGGTTTTCTTCTGTATTTCTACTCTGCCGCTGTCGGGCGTTGGTCTTCTAACGTTGCAATTTCCTCTCCCACCTCAGGAAAAGCAAACGATCGATCAACGGCGCTCAAACGCCGGAGGTAAGGTGGGCGCTGCGCTGGAGTCTGGACTGGTAGTCTGGTGGTGCCTTGCATCAGCACTTCTGTGCACTGCCCTGCGCATGCATAATAGCAGCCCATTATGATCAGAGACGGGTCTGATACCCGCCGCGCCCATTCATGAGCTTGCCTTAGTCTGAAGCATCCGGCATGAATTTCAAACTACTGGAGCACTGGAGGTCTGACGAACGCGAAGATGAAGCGAAGCAGCAAAGATAGGGGACCACCGGGACTCTGGTGGAGAGGAATGGGGCATCATTCGCATTCCACAGCGAGGCTCGCCATCACTTCACGGCCCATATTTTTTTCCAACGAGTTTCGATGATCTTTGGCTACTATTGGGTAAATGGGTGGGCATCTGCCAGGTACGCTTGCACGCTTACCCCGGATGGATGGCTCGTGTTGATGATGGTTGCGACCTGCAGCCACTGTAGCACATGCTGGAAGCCTGGAAATGATGATTAGTGGGATCAACCCTCGCCTGTTGGACACCTCAGTTTTCAATACGAGAGCGTGTGGGCCACTGTTTAACTCCATCGTTTTATATTACTAGAGGATTACCGCAGTATATATAAACGCTACCCTGCCCTCGAATTCCGTATTATTTAACCTTAACCCTTTTTATAAATTACCTATCCTTTCCTCTATTTTACCCTCTCCCTTATTAAGGGATTATTAGAATTGTAGTTTTAATAACTTATTAATAAACTAGTATTATTATTTAGAAATAAGTAACCTATTCTTATATATAGGCGCTAGGAGTTTTATTATTATAAAAATAGTAATAAATATACCGGAGTACTTAAGAGAGCTTTTTAATAAATTTTTAATACTATTTAAAGTAATTATTTTTGAGCTATAAAAAGAAGCTAAGGCGCTATATTAATACGGCCCTATCTATCTCGTTAGTATTAATAATACTCTTTTTAGTATAAGATATATTAATAATACTCTATAACTACGTTATTACGTTTCGTAAATCGTACTTAACGTTAGTAAAGCTTTTAGTATTATTTACTAAGTCTTTTATTAAAGTCGTTATTATAAGGTTAGTTTAGTTATTAATATCTTAATAAGTATTTTAACTTAACTTAGAGACTCTTATAGCTCTTAAAAAGAGGCTTTTAAAGGACTTATAATTAGACTTTTTACTTATTATAAGTAAAGCTATTATAGTTAAAGCTATAGTAATTAAAGCTATAATAATTAAAACTATAGCGCTACTTATGGACCTTAATAGTAAGTAGTTAGTAGTATAGTTATTTTTCTTTTATAATAAGCTTAAAAAAGTATCTTAATTTAAGTACTAAATAAGTACTATATTATTTTATTAAAACTATATTCTTATACTTATAACTTAAAAAGAATTAACTTTCTTCGATAATAAGGTACTTAGAGAGCGTGTGGGTATACGATAGAAGGCAGAAGCACATTATTATCATGGAGGGCGACTTGTGTACAGTCCTGCAGCATAGTGTGTATAGATGGCACACCGTGTCTGTTTCCCCAGACTTGCGCGTTTCCTGCAGGTCAAAAACCTGGCTTGCATGAGCTGGCAGCACTGTGTCTGCATGTCTCTCTCCCTCTCGCATTCCCAGGAAATGCCGCCCAATTGCACCAAAATAAACAGACCCCGACACAGCAGCACGTCAGAACTTTCAGGTGCAGCCATTGGAAATGCGCCGCGCCACAGCCCAGGCCCCAAGGGCAGGGACGAGAACCGCCCAGTCCGCTAACACGAAATGGATGCTATAGACTGTCGCCTGTTGTGCTTGCTCTCAGCAGGTTCCTCCAGAGCAGGCAAGGACCCTTCCTCCTTTTTTCCCCCAGGCCCGTTCCCTGCTGACCAGGGGCCCGCCTTCGCCATCCATTCCCTTTCTCTTCCCCATCACGCACCCTCATCCCTCCCGTCCCTCTCCTGCTCCCTCCAACCCTTCCTCCCTAACTGACTCCCTCACGACAAACCTCGGAAGCCGCCCACCTAGCAAACGATCAGCCGGCACCAGCAATGTTTTAGCCAGCGGGACCTTTCCTTCTTTCATATTGCTTTGCCTGTTCAGTCTGCATCCTCAACTGTCTCGATACTTTCGTTCGATTCTCCCGAATTCATCGCACTCAGTCTGCGCCAGCTGAATGAACCGAACCGCCCCATCCGGAAGGACACCACAACGACGACCCAACCCCGTTTTCTACCCACGGGGACCGACAAGATCGCCGTCATCGACCTTCTTTCATCCATTCGACAACCGAACAGCATAGAGTGTCTAGACCACAAGTGACCGACGACTGCATCACCCTGAGTTTGGAGCATCGCATCCCACCGTAAACACCGGACCCCCTCGGACGTAACTGAATCGACCGACCATGGTTTCGTCACGCCATTCGCTGAAGCGCTCGCTTCTCCTGTCCACCTTTGCCGCCTTGTCTCTCTTCTCTGCCACGGGTCTCGCGCAAGATAGTAGCAGTGGAGGAAATGCCCAGACCAGTGCTTCGCAGGCAGCTTCTACAGACGATGCCACCACCTCGGCTGCGCAGCCTTCGCGCACCAACGCGGCAACCGCCGTCATCACCAACACCGGCGCCGTTGCCACAACGGAAGCGAGCATCAGTGCCCCTAGAATCACCGGCACCTCCGATTCCACTGGCGATGTCCTCACGGGTCTACCGTCCCTTACAAACCAGCCCATTGTGACGACATACCCGCCGGCCAGTGTACCCCCCACCAACAACGCTCCTTATATGCACCGCTCGAGTGCTCCTCAAGGAACCGTCTTCATTGCCGTGGGCTCCATTCTTGGTGCCTTTGGCCTCGGCATTCTGATCTGGCGCGGCATCATCGCTTGTCTGCTGCACCGCTCCGTTGCCCGCGCCGCCAATGCTCAGTATGTCGCCAACGACAAGCAGAGCTTCCCTGCCCCTCCAGCGCAATTCTACAAGTATACCGACCGCGAATCCACTCCTTCTCTCGTTCCCAATGGAGGACGTGGTGTGCGTAGAACGCAGCGCGGCCCCATCCCCTCTGCGACGCCGAGCCAGTCGAACCTCTTCTTCTCGCCCACCGCAGCTGGCGGCGGCAATAGCAACAACAATAACAATAACTCGGCCACCAACCGCGACTCTCGTTTCCTTCCTTCTGGATTCTACGCCGCTGCCACCTCGTCTCCCAGTCCTGCTCACGGTCACTCAATAAGTTTGACGAACCTCCGCCCCGAATCCCGAGGCCAGTATGGAAGCCGCAACAACTTGAGGGAATCTACGCCTCCGGAATCCCCTTCGTACGGCGCAAGGCGCGACTTTAGCACCAGCTCGGTCAACTTGTCTGCGGCGCCTGGGAACGGACAAAGAGCTCCCAGTGCTTACCTCGAGGATCTCTTGGACGAGAATCCCAATGCCTTCCCGCCAAGCCAGATGCGCCCCGGATCTCGAAATGCCAACAACTCTCCCGGTGGTCGATTCTAGAGAGAGGGGTTCTTTTCTATTTGGTTTCATTCCATCTATGCATCAAAAACAGTTTCATTACGTCATGAAAAAAAATGGCGAGACGTCACGGCTTAGGGTTTTTTGAATGGTACATTCATGGCGTTTAGGGGTATCATCAAGTTGCATCACTGGTTTGGAATACTGTTTTTAATCATCATCCAGTGAGGCCGGGCACTTTTTTCGGTACCGGTCTTTCAGCAAGTTTGAGGTGGAGCGCGGGTCAAAAGGCAAAGGCGGCTCCCTTTTCAACAGGGCTGCTGCGCAAGGGTGGTTGTCTAGTTGTATTTTGGCCCTGTACACCACGACAGGCGTGATGGAGCATTAGACTGGGAGTCTTGGTGACGACGATCCGCCGGTGGCATTTTGTCTTCGCTTCTACATCGCTCGCTGGTACATATTCTTTCAATGAGCAGAACTACTCGAAAATATCTTGAGACAATATCATGTGATGTTTACCAACCATCAAGCTGTAGTTCTTTGTACATGTCGTCACGACAACCGCTGACAATATGCTTCTGCATGGGAAACCTTATGTACGGATTACGTCTGAAGTGTACTCGTCCGGATAGAGATAAAAGCTGGTCCGATGTCGTCAGCCCATTTGACTTTTCTCGGCAATCATCCCAATCTATTAAACTTTTTTGACACAACGTGGGCAAGGGGGGGAAGCTTTCCGTGAAAAAAGGAAACATGAGCCTCCTTTTTTATACTTCGGATTCGGAGCTGCTACACTATGTAAATGGAACCGAGCGGACCGAGAGCAACGTCGCATGTACGGATGGTATGTCCATCGCCCGAGGTTGTCTGGTTAAACGTGCCCCGTGGTAGGGGGGAAGGAGAGGGGGTTTGCATCTTTACTACTTTTTCTTCGTTTCCTTCTTTGATGAATACTGGATATACGGGATGTATCTCCGAATGTCTGGTATCTCGATATCAACCGAGATTTCGCTTCCCAAGCTATCGAGGCCGAGCTGTCGAGACGCATACGACATATCTCAACCCCCAGGGTTTCTACCACCATCACGAGACTAAGAACATCGCTCACCCATTTATTCCTTGAAGTATCAAAACTTCTTTGCCCCATCCTCGCTTGAAACAGCTGCGAACCGCAACCAGGCGTACGGCGCACCAGGGTGCATCTACCCGTCGTGAACCCACCGGATCTTGTCACACCCTTTCCAGCGCCATGTATCACGATTCGTCTAACCCCCCTTCCGTGCGACCTAGATCCGGGGGAAGACGAACGCTGTGGATTCGTGAGAGAGAGAGAGACATTTTCGGTTCTTTGCTTCCTTGGTCTCACGATCTCTTGGCTGTCCAAGGCTTGCGGGCGCCTGGTGGGGTTGTGCTAACGAAGAGCAGCAGCAGAGACGACTGGATCACGGGTGGTGCAGGTATGATGAGGGCTTCGGCATCACGTTCTATGCGAAACGTCGGTGTGCGGTTTCTTCTTTCTTGACATTTTTTGGTTTCTTTTCTATTTTGTATTACACGCCCTCTATTTACTGCAAGACATGCTCGATGCTTCTGGTATATGGAGGGCCGGGTATGAAAATTACTTGTCCCAGACGCTATGGTCCCTACGATTTCCTTGCCTTCTCTTTCTTGAGGGACCATGTTTGTTCTTCCTGAATGTACTGCATTTTATGTTATCCCCTTACATTCACTTATACCACCAGCTCATGATGTCCCCGACTAACTCGATCCGCCAGCTTGGATCTCCAGAGGAGCAGTACCTTCGCTCGCGCCGCGGATATCCTCTAGTCTGATGCCACTGCGGTCACACATGCTCCTGAAGATACCGCCCTCCCGCTGCCACAGCGCAAGAGGCGTATCCAGCTCCGCGATACGGCCGGCGTCCATGACGCAGATGCGGTCGTAGCCGATGATGGTGCGCAGACGATGGGCAATGCACAACAGCGTCCTGCCCCTGAAGCTCGTGGCAATCGTGTTCTGGATCTTGTCGTCCGTTTCCATATCAACAGAGGACGTCGCCTCGTCACAGACAATGATGCGGCTGCCGCGGACGAGAGCACGCGCCAGGGCCATGAGCTGGCGCTGTCCGAGGGAGAAGTTGAGACCATCCTCTTCGACGACGGAGTCGAGGTGGATGCTTGACGACTCCTTGGACCTTGGATCCTCGAGGTTCGCGTCTGCTGGAACGAGATCAGCCTGTCGCAGGGCGGACCACAGTTCCAGATCCGTGTGCTCGTTGAATGGGTCGAGGTTGGAGCGGACTGTGCCCCTGAAAAGCGTCGGGTCTTGTGGAATGATTGCCAGGCGGGATCGCAGGTCATGGAGACCAATTGTCGAAATGTCGACACCGTCAATTGTGATGTGTCCACCCGACAGCTCGACGAGACGGAAGAGAGTCGACATGATGGACGACTTGCCCGCACCCGTTCTACCGACGATACCGATACGCTCGCCGCCTTGCACGTGCATGGAAAGACCGGATAGCACAAGAGGCAAGTTGGCGCGGTAGCGCATCTCCACGTTGTCAAAGACGATCTCACCCTTCTCAGGCCACTCTGGTCGAACTTCGATAGTGTGCAAGGGCGCCTCTTCCTCCAGTTGAGTGCCGTAGTACTGGATTCGCTCCACGGCGTTCATGCCGTTCTCAACTTCTGCGAGTTGACGGACGGTAAACTGGATCATCTGCACGATACCGAGAATGTAGCTGAGTACCAGCCCACCAATGCTCGGCGGCACGCTGAATCGCGAGGTCACGACGAGAATGCCGACGGTGAAGACAAGAAGGTTACCAATCAGATCGAGACGAGTCGACAGCCAACGCTGGTTCGAGAATGTAAGGTAGTACGCAGCGTTCATCTCGTCAATGGACTTTCGCAAGTCAGCAATGAAATGCGTCTTGAGACCATACGCTCGAATGCTGGCAACACCGCTCAATCCTTCACCAAACTTTGCGAAGACAGTAGATCGAAGAACCGACTCGAAACGCTTGACCTCGCGTGCCGATGCGCGGTAGTAAGAGGAAGCGAGGATGAAGAACACAAACAGTGGTCCGAGGGCGATGGCGAAGTAATGGAAAAAGGCGATGATGAGAGCAAAGACGGATAAGATCATGGCCAACGTGAAGAAGTACATTCTCATGGCATCCGTCAAGTTGTTGTCCATCACATCCACGTCTCTTGAGAAGCGATTGGTGATTCGGCCAAGGGGTGTGGTGTCGAAGAAGGACATTGGCGCACGGAGAACCCGTGTCACTGCCTGCCTCAGCATGACCTTGCTAGACTTGGTGCCGAGGATGGACAGAAGTAGCGAGAAAACGAACATGAGGATCGCTTGGAGGGCACCCAGACCGGCGTATATACCGATGTACTGCCCGTCAGACAGCGGATAACGCTTACTTGTCCAGTATGAAAGCCAGAGACTGGTCATAATGTTCGCTCCTTGGGAGAGAATGAGGAGGAAGATCAAAAAGGGTGCGTTGAAGATGGAACCGGAGGCGCGGATGAAGTCTCCGTACACCTTCCAGGGGACGCTTGCCACAGCGCGCTCTTCTTGTTGCATGAGTGCAGCCCCCTTCTTGTTCTTCTTCTTGTCGCCTTGGGGCGCTTCAGCCAGGTTGGTTGGTGCTGTCTCGTCTTCCTTCTCTTCCTGTGCAGTTGTCTCCAAGAGTTGTTGGAAGCCACGGTGGTCTCTCATCAAGTTGTCAAAGGTGTCGACGGCTTGAATCTTGCCGCCCTCCATCCAAATGACTCTGTCACATCTGTTCAGAACCCAAAGCTGATGAGTTGCTAGGATCCTACATTTGCCCTTCAAGAGGCCGAGGATGGCATTGTCGAAGATGTGCCGTCCCACGTGAGCGTCAACAGCGCTTAAAGGGTCGTCCATGAGCACGATGTCGGAGTCAAAGTAGATGGCCCTAGCAATGTTGAGACGCTGCTTCTGCCCTCCCGAGATTGTGATTCCTCGTTCGCCAATCTCTGTCAAATCTCCGTTCGGAAGCATGGCAAGATCGGGCCGCAGAGCACAACTAGAGCCAGGTCAGTCCGATTCTTGGCAAGGAAACTACCATGGTGTTACTTACGCGTTGATGACTTCTTGGTACCATGCTCGGTCCATATCCTTGCCGAAGAGGATGTTGTCACGGACCGTGGCATTTTGGATCCATGCATATTGTGGGCAAAATGCTCGGGAAGCACCGAGCACAACTTCGCCAGATGTTTTTCTCATGTCACCTGCGAGCGCGGCCAGCAGCGAAGTCTTGCCGCTCCCGACTGTTCCAATGACTGCGACTAGCTCATCCCTCTTGATCTCAAAGTTGATGTCTTGCAGCTTAAAAGGTTCGCGTTCCTCCTCGACAAGCGTGCTGGCACCATCTCCCGTGCTATCGCCAGACGAGGCAAGTGGCTCGTCAGGCTTGGAGATGTTCTTTGCGGGTGCAGGCGTTTGAGTCGCAACCTTCTTGCCACCCTTTGCGGCGCCACCTACAGTCTTTTCAGACTCCTGCGTTGCAGTTCGCTCCCAGGTGAAGCTGGCATTTGTCATCTCCAATGCATTCTCTCCCTCTGGCTTGAAAACCACATCTTCCTCTTGCTCCTCCGCCAGCAAAAACTCTTGGATACGCTTCAGCGATGACCAGGCATCGACGACTTGACCAAGGACCAGGGGCAGCAAGTTGAGGGGGATCCGAAGACCATTGAACAAGGCCAACGAGGAGAAGACCTCGGCGGGGTTCAAAGCGTTGTTTGTCTTTGCATACGTGACGAAGGAGAGCATGGAGGCGAAAATGGGAAGCGATAGACTGACGGCGTTGATGGCATTACGGATTGCCAGTAAGATCTGGATAGCGTGAATTTCTCGTTTTCGGATTTCCTTGAGACGGTCAAGGAACGCGGTCTCCCATCCAAAGTACTTGACGAAACGGACCGACTGCAGAATCTCCTGGGTCAAGCTGACTCTCTGATCCGTAACCTTGTTAATGGACTTTCTTCTTTTGAACAAGCTTCTGA